AAAAAAATAAGTCTGTACTTCATCTGAAGTTCATGTTATTTTCAGTTTCTGGTAAAGCAGGTCTTGATGAAACTTGCGTTTTTAAAAGGCCTACAATGAACGGTAGTAATGGTCCCATTTCAGAATACCACAAGGCATTGTGATGTTAGTTTAACTGAATTTTTAGGATGGTTTATAGAATAAAGCAAAATTATGAATATAGTGAAATGCCCATTTGAAGTTTCTTTTTTGAGCAGTGGATTAAAACACTAAACTGAGGAAGATTTAAATTTGAGGTAATGCACACTGGGATTAATGAAACTGGATGTAAAAACCAAGGAAAACCATAAAATAAGAAACATTAACTGGACATTCATTGCCCTCTCAGTAATCATTAAGCCACTCAACAGAACAGATACTTGATTACGTATATTTATAGTATTGTAATGGATTTGATAAATGCATTGTCAGGCAATGGCTCCATAAACATAATTCCATGCACAACAATNNNATAATAATAATAATAATAATAATAATAATAATAATAATAGTAATGCATGGGTGTGAACTGTGGTACCATTTGTAAATACAATTCAGTGTCCAGTAAATCCAGTTACCAATTCCAACCCAATGTGTAGCCACTGTCATGTGACAGTATCTTGATTGGTAGGTAAAGACACATGAACAGACTTTTTGAAATTAAACTTCTTGGAAGTTGCCAATTTTGAAAACCCTGAAGGGGATCGGTCTATAATATTAAGATAGATTTTCAGCTTATTCTATAGTGGACTTTAGTGTTGAATCTTTGGGGTTTGTTAGCAGGTAATTTGCTGCATGGCATTGTAGCTTTGTGACAATTATGAACTATACATAAAATTCACTTTGTTAAGTGAAGCTGAATTTGTTTATTAATTTTACTCACATTTTTATGTTATATTTAAAATTATGAACAAATCAAATAGGAATTTACAGATAGTCCAATGATTCTCATTTCTGATATCAAATCTGGGAAAAGGTGTTTGATACTGTTATACTGATTTGCGGTGATGTTTCAGGAAGGTCTGGTAGTAGTGGGGCATGTAGACTGTGCCAGCAGCAAAGAATTCTGTGAGAAGTTTGACACAACTACAGAATCCTATGTAATTTACTGGGAACCTCTGGAAGAACATCCAGTTGGTGTGACACACAGAATCTTGGGAACAGATGCAAAAGAAATTGCAAAGGAAGTTCTGTCTTTCCTGCCTGAACCAGCTGCATTGGATGAAGAAGGATTTGATGTAAGTTCATATCCAGTACCATTTCTAAGGGGTTTAGAACTGTAAGTTAACAAAAATTACATATATTACATAGATATATGGAACTCTTTGGAGATTTTTTACCTGGGTAACTAACCTGACATATAACTTCAGAAGTTGGAGAACAAGACCATAGCCTCGTTGCCCTATCAGCTACTGTAGAGGTCACAGGGCACATGAAGTCCCTACTGTATATCACCCAATGAGGTGATCCTGTGCATTCTGTTTCCCACTTTGCTACATGGTGTAGATAGTTAATAAACATTGTGCCACAAATAATTATTATAAATGATAGTAATTTACAAAATATAAAAACAAATACAAACAAAGGAATGAATACTGAAAATAAGGTACTACAACCCCACAGACCTGCATCTCTACACCCCCTTCCAGGAAGCAAAAACCGAAGGTTCCCACTGTTTTTAAAAATATTACACAATGATGTTAGATACAGTGCAGGTCACCTGCATACTAGAGGAAGGACAAATCTGTGCCAGAACTATTTTTGGAAACACAAGTCAGATCATGATTTGGAAGAAGTCCTTCCTCTTCAAGTGTTACGTTGGTGAGAGCCTGTTTCAGGGAGAACCTTTGTCAGGTGAAGATGGGAGTAGGGAGGGGTAGTAACAAGGGATGCATGCAGTAGAGGTCACATCATACACAGATCGAAATGAGGTGACATTCAAATGGGCACAGTGTGAGGCTGTGCACAACTGCAGTATATGTCACATCACCTCCCATGAAGTGGGAACTGTGGTCGGATTTTGTTGTAAGAAATGACCATATTAGAAGCCAACTGAAGGTTAAAATTTCAAATAGAATTGTGGAGGGACAGAGAGAGAGATGGGATGTATTGAGAAGAGAACTTAAACAGTGATGGAAAAGGTGGGAAATCAGTTTGAGATGTATCTGATTTTTTTGGCTTAATGTGTGAAAGAGAGGAAATATTGCCAAATCGTTATTATCTAACTATATTTTGTCAAAAAATCCTTTCATTCTAGACATTTTGGTGTGGGAATTCAGGGCTATAAATCCAGGTGAGCATAATGACCATTCCTACTGTTCACCATATACAGTGAACCTTTGTTAAGATACACTGAAAATTTGAATATATCGGTTTATTATTTTATTAATGTTTTATGGCTCATTTTCCAGATCTTTCTCACAGAAACTTTTGCAGCAGTGTTCCCTCTAAGCTGTGCATGTCCACCTGCTAAAATGTGTCCACACTCGTTCTGTCATTCGCAGAACATAGCCTCAGTATTCTTAAGGAAAGAAATTTCCCTTAAGAGAACCCATATATAAACTATGAAAATCTTACATATTTTATCTGATTGATCTGAAATTTTTATCATGCTACAACCTTAAGCATGGATAACATAGTTAATTGAGTATTGTTCACCCAGTAGTTTCTGTGATAAAAAAATTCTCTACTTACAACACTGTTATTAATCATATTAGCAGATGCCATCACAAGGTGAAAGGTTATCAGTTACTGAACAGCTGATGACTGGGCGTTATCAGACCAGTAATGTGAGTAATTCTTGCCTGTGCCATGGGTGTGGGCTGCGTGGTAAACAGTGATGTCCATCAGCCTTAAATGAAGTAGTCAGTAAGAACTGAATTCAGTATTGAAGGATCTTTCATTCAGCCAACTTGCAATTTCATGTCATAATCAGTAGTGTGACTGCAAAATTATTATTACCATACATAATTTTACAATTTCAGCCAAGAGATGAAGACATGTCTCCCTGTGATTTGTATGTCATAAGTACAAGTCACACAGAAAATTTTTAGTGTAACAATGTAAATAAATGTACTTTTCCTTAAAGTGGAAGTAGAACAAATCCATGTCCTTAGTAAGTCAAAACTGGAAACAAATGAGACTTCGAGCATTATAAGGAAGGAATCCTGTGACAGATTTGAAAGGGGGTTGCTTTCCAAGCTCACAGAAACAGAAATCTCATCTTCAGTACATACAGAAAGTAGCAGTCAAGCAATTTTATAATGACGGTGAAGTTAATTTGCAAAAGAAGATGTTTATATCTGACAGAGCTTTGGGTATACTTGGAAAGAAAAAACAGGGTAACAACAGTGTTGAAATAAAAACATTGTCAGAGCAGCATAGTATTGCTAACAGACAAGATCATGGAATACATGGTGCCTCAAAATGAGTCTCATTAATGCATGATATTGAATTCCTTCTAAGAACGGTGTTTGCATTGTTCAGCAGCTCATCTCTGAAGAAAGGACAATTCAAAAAACTGGAAAGATTCACAGAGAGTGATGAAGGGGAATTTCAGCCTCTGAAGGAAGGGGGGTGGCTGTCAAGGCACTATGAAGTTTATGCACCAATGTGGATTGATTACCACACAGAATAAAATTAACAAGTGCAACAGTTCGCTAAACAAATATTGCCTGAATATACTCACATAGCTACAAATTTGCATTGCAGTGACAGTTATGAATGATGTCTTAGGTGAACTAATATCAGTGTTCAGAAACTTTCAAAGAAGCAGTTTGACAACGAAGATTGATAGTCCGAGTACTGACTATTTAGGTGAACAAATTTATCAGAGCAATGAAGTCAAGAATATTTTTCTTGCTGTAGGTAGTTATGTTGACACAGCTGCAATCCTTAGATTTATTCAACTGCTATGTGACCACCTGGATATCAGATTTGCAGAAGAGGAATTAATGGAATGGCATACACTTGATCAGAATGTAATTGTCAAAAGAACCAGTGTGGAGCAGGTGTAGAAAAATGTTCTGATCATATGCCGAACTATGAAGAAAATGTGACCACAAAAATGTGTGAGTAGTTCTGTGCTTTGAAATTGTAGCTACAGAAAAATTCAAGACTGGTTCATTTCAGACATTCAGTGGTTTTGTGAACTATACCCTGAAAGGTAACCACATTCAAGAAATTTCAGTTCTCCTGGACATTTGTGGAACATTTCAGGTGTCAAGTGCTGAGTGTGAGCATGAATCTAGTCTAATGAATTTAATTAAATCTGAATTCGGTCATTTAATCTGGAACAAATTATCAGCCTTTGTGAGGTATATAAACACTGGGCATCAAATAAAGACAGGCAGGAAAAGTTGCCAACGATGGAGCGAATGAAGTTTTTTTTTTTTTTGCTCCTGCAGTGTACGGTCTCCAAATGAAGTAATTAAATTTCTGCTGAGTTGTTTATATCATTATTTTAAAATTTTTGCGTGTTATACAGTTTTATCTACCAGTATGTCAGACTGTTGTTATTTTGTGCCGTCAGTGTTAATATTTCAAGTGTAGAAATTTTATGCAAAAGATCATCTGCTATTTCAAGACCTAATGCAAAAGGTTGGATAACTGCAAGCATCTTTACAGACTGCTACCGCACATGCCTAACTGGTGAGCTCTAAGACTACTGCTTCCGTGCAAATATGGTTTCCAAGATTATATTTGTTCTAGATAATGCACCTCTACAAGCAGCTAAATCGGCTATTCATTGTAAGTAAAAATGTTGTTCTATAATATTTAATCTGTATTTTCTAATTATGATGTACTGATACATGCATACAAGCATACTAATGTATGCCTGTACACACATGTAAACACATAATGTACCGGAAGAGCAATAATAAAATAAATTAAAACTGTAAAATCACAGCTGAAAATGCAACCCACAACTTCTGCATTGTTTTTAATGGTAAAATTATTACCACAGCATTTTCCGTTAGTGTCAAATTTTTCACAAATGTAACTACTTTTTTATTGGAGGAATTACTGTAGTTGCAAAAATAAATATGAATTTAAATAGATGCTGTCTGACTTTTGCTCACTGGAAACTCTGGGTTTAAATATGCCACTCAGACAAACCAGAAGTCCATGCAGGAACCAAAGAGTGGAGGGAACACTGTCTTGCACCTGAATGGAACCAGTCTTTTTTGTGTTTGTATGTGATTAGTGCATGCAACTCAGATGGAGGAACTTTGCAACTCTATATGTCAAAAGCAACAAAGCAACAAGGCTAGGGACTAGATGGCCAAGGAATTGGGGTTCGATTCTCAGAAGTAGCAAGAGATTTTTATCCTCTCCATGACATCCAGACTGGCTATAGAGTCCGCCAAGCCTTCTGTACCATGGGTACCGGGGCCTGTTTCCCTGGACATAAAGCTATAGGGTCTTCAAGCTGATCACTCAGCTCTGTCTAATGCTAAGGTTAAGAACAGTTGAGGTGTAGCTCCAGTCTCCCATACATCATCATGGTGTAGTGCTGAATGAATTATGCCCAATGATTACTTTTTTACTTCTTTTGGATTTTCAATAATGGGAGTATTTGTCTGTGTCATGAGTGGTTCAGTGACTACCACTCCAGGCTGACATGCCTACAGAATGTGGTTACAGTCATGGAAGTTCCACACATTTTAATTCAGGAATGGATCTTTTTCTTTATGTGTGGGAATTTAAAATCCCATCACCTCTGTACTCTGGTTAATTAAATTGAATTAAATCTTCTGGCACAGGTGGCTTAATCTGTGTTTTCAGTAACCCTTTCTGCTTTTTTGTGGAAATATTTGTCAAAACCTTCCTGGCTCACAGTTAGTGTGGAAGAAATTTTAATAGTAAGAATGGACAAAAGGAGCTTAAGAGCAAAACAGGTTGACTTTCATTATAATATTGTAATAGATGTATTGCCCCATGTCTCAGCAGTTATTGCCAATCACATGTAAAACATTTGAGTTCATGACTTCATTTCTTTGTGGGGAAGTTGTTTCAGATAGTCCCCAGCAACTGAAACATTTTCACCAAAGAAGCAGAATAAGCTTTGGGACTCATGGAAATTTGCACATTTAACTTCCTGTTTATAATGTACTGTAGCAATAATACTGTTTACTGAGGAAAAGGTGATTATCCTCTCAGAAATTAAACATCTGTTATCCTGCTCTAGTAAAATTAATGTTAAATGTTCATTTTTGCTAAGAATCAAATCACTTACTAGACTTCCTGAATCTTCTTAGTTCTTCTGGAAGTTAAATTGAGGGCCAAAGACCATTTTTTTTCTGAATATATAGCATTAGTAAATATAAAACAACAGAGAATTTGATATGGAAAAGATCTCAGTAACAATGTAGGGGTAATTTCTTGCTAAACTATAGAGACTATTTGTGATATGTGCCTTATCTCTTTTTTTTTTTTTTTTTTTTCTGNCCCTTGGGTAGTGTACTTTTACTTGGGTGAAACAACAGCAGACATGGAGCTAGAATTGAAGAAGTTGCCTGCACTGTTGCCTGACATGCGACTGGGTAAGGTGCACTGTGGACGGTGGGCTGCACTGTGCCAAGAACTGCATATAGCACGCTACCCATTGTTTGCAGTGTTCAAGCTTGGAGGAGGTCATGAGATACATCATGGGCGCGAAACAGCTCACGATGTTGCCAACTTTGCTAGGGACAGCAGTGCTGCTCCTAATGTCAGAGTGTTGGCTCCACCAGAATTTCCAGATCTCATACACGGCAGCCATGGTAAGACCTGACTTACATTGTAGGTTTATGAATCCATTCAGTCTGTTTTCATATAAAGTTGAATTTAAGTCTTTAGTTGGGCCTTAATGCTCTTGTGTAAGGTAAAGGTGTCTAAGCTGCATGTCATGAAAGTATATAAGGAGCCATTTTAGGTAGAGTGGCAAATGGAAAATGACTGTCTGATTAATGAAACAGAATATTATGCATAATAAATTAATATAGTGGATAGATTCAGACTTGTGCTTCACACGACTGTTGTGCAAATACATGGTGTTTAAAGTCATATAACTTGCTTTGCATTGCCATACAACAACTTTTTTGTGTCATTGAAATTTTAAAAATATTTTAGTTGTAAATTTTTAACTTATTAAATTGCTACTTATTTTCATTGTCGGTTAAGGGGTTTGTTATACACCTTTAAAATCTAATTTTTTACATTTTATAATAGGTTCTACTTGTGTAGATAAATGCAAGTTAAAAAATAATTTAAGTCCACTTTCATGTATATGTATCTCTGTTATGGTTGGATCTCTATCATAATCCTGGTATGGATAATTTCCCAACCCACAGTATTTATTCATTTCTTGTGTGCATATATTCATATCTGCTTACATTAGTGGTATTTAAACCTAAATTTGTCAAATGAAACATTTTTGATATTCAGCAATACTGGAGCACACAGACAGTAATGCACTGAGCTTTCTAGAAGCATGTGACTACCATGGCAGTATGAATAAATCTTAATGAAGCTATCGCATAGTGCAAACTATTAGGCACTGATGAGTTCCACCTCCACTTGGAACCTTGGATTCAACCCTGGGTGTCTTCATGGTGGATTAAATGGCACTGGAACAGTGCTAAAATTCCCATTTCCTAGAATCTTTAAGTTCAGTTCCTCTTGTAGCCAGTGTCATTTTTATGGCACTTTCCTATGTCATCCAAATGTGTTGGATTTGCCCTTCCATCGGGTGCTCAAAATCCAGGACTACTTTGGCATAAATTTCTGCTACAACTGTTTATTACTGTCATTCCAGAACCTTTCGTATCCCTTCCTTGATTGTCAAGTACTATTTTAAATAAAGGGAAATAACCACTCTTTCATTACAAAGTAACATTTACTTCTAAAACCTATAACAGGCGGTGCAGTCAACTCCAATATTCCTCAGATTGTGGTTTTCCTTTCTGTAGTTTTAAATTTATATAGTTCCAACACAGTAATCTCACTATTAAATTTGCTTTTCCTAAGATGTCACTCCTGATGATGGTGTATAACAGTTTGGTTTACTGAGTTTTTGTATTTTGTCCATCATCTGATATTCTAAAGAACACATCATTTCAGAAACTGGATATGTTTCCATCCACAGGTGAAAGGGTGGCCTGGCCATGTGATTCGTATAAGTTGCAGAATTTCTGCAGCCACCTCAATAGTCTAAGATCCTCTATCCCATTTACTTTGGAAACAGAATCAGACAGTATGATTTATTTTCAGGAAGTTCTCATCTTCAGAAAAGGACTGGCATTGACCGCTATTTTTCTGTTGTCTTCCATTGACAAAACCTGATCTCAGGTGTCTAGATAGATGTAGTTATACTGAGCTATGTTGTCCAGTCATTGAGGTTAGCAGTAGACCCAACAGATTAGTGCCTTGCACCTTTTCACATGAGAAGGGAAGTGTCTAGATAGATGCAGTTATACTGAGCTATGTTGTCCAGTCATTGAGGTTAGCAGTAGACTCAACAGATTAGTGCCTTGCACCCTTTCACATGAGAAGGGAAACGGATCCAGTTTCCAAAACGCTGTGTTCTTTAGAATACCAGGCAAACAGAGTTATCAGACAACTTCAGTAATAATAGAAGCAGCAGTAGTAGTAGCACCAAGCATCACACTGTAAGCTTAAACCCAAGCTTTTTTAAAAGATGTTTACTATTTCATTACATATGTGTTTTGGATACATCTAATATTGAATAAGGTCTGAAAGTAAGTTTTCTCTTAAATAATAGTGTCATGTGTAAAAACTTATTTTGCACTTTACTGTGAAACATTAAAATTTTGCACTCTGTGTTTCTTTGTTTAGGAAGTGGAGCTTGGCTGGTAGATTTCTATGCACCATGGTGTCCCCCTTGCCTTCGACTACTGCCAGAATTGAGGAAGGCTTCACGACACTTTGATTCAGCAATAAACTTTGGAACTATTGACTGCACAATTCATGCCTCTCTTTGCCGTCAACATAACATCCGCTCATACCCTACAACTATTCTGTATAATAACACTGAGAAGCAGCAGTTTCATGGAGATCACACGGCGACTTCTCTTGTAGATTTTCTGCAGGACATCCTAAACCCCACAGGTTTGTCTTATCCTCAGTTTAAGTATCAAGACATTCATAAATATGTGAATAAATAAAGAATTATTATGAATGTATGATGAAATGCTTTTTATTTCGTAGTTTATTCACTTATAGTATGCAAACTGCATGACAAATGGTAGGATGATTATGAATGGTAATGTGAAAGAATGTGCAGTGGAAACTTTCATGCATTAATACATTACTCTTACGAAAGAAATCACTCATGTAAGACTACCTCTTTGTTTTGAGGCCAGAATGAACTTCTGTGTTTCTCTTGTTCATTATCAAACAAAACTTCAGATAAGTTATACATATTTTGATGAGGGAAATATATTTACTTTTTAATAAGTCTTATCTAAGATATATTATTATTTTTTAATTTCATATTGGGGTTCCCACAGCAACAGCTATGAAGATTGCAGTCTTTTGGATGTGACCCTGTGTAGTTCAGTAGATAGGTACCAATGTTTTGGGAGAACATGCTGCATCCATTTCATTTTCTACCCTGAAGATGCAGTCAGCAGGTTCTTCTGAAACATTACTATGTGTCTACCAGAGTACATTATGTCACATCCCAGAAAACAGTAATCTGTACGAAATTTGATTTTAAGATGAAGGAATCTTATTTGGAGCTTAACATTTGCATATTTCCACCGTTATTGTAACCAGAATTTGTAAATCTGCACATGATTTGTTTTTTTTTTATAAAAAATATATGTGAAAAGTACATATTCCTTCAGATATGATTATTTTATTGTGAATACACAAATTACCTTACATGTTTCAGCCTGTAAATATGTAATTATGAAAATAATCACCACACCATATAAACATATAACATCTTACAGGGAAGCATTTTCTTACATTCATATTTTCATAATTATATAATTAAATCAATACATGATCTAATGCATTCCTACTTTATATTTGCAGATAAAAACACATTGCTCCTCACAAATGGAATTTACTTAATTAAACCAATGGTAATAAATCTAGATGTAGTTAACTTTTAATTAACTAAGAAGTTTTATCTTTGACTACAGTATTAAGATATAAGATCCTTATATGTATAGACATAAGTATTGCAAATATGTGCAGTCTTTACAACTAATGTTGATTAAACCTCTGATGATGACTAAGACAGTTTGAAGCACATAAGGTTATTTGTGTATTCACAATAAATTAGTCACATCTGTAGGAATATATACATTTTTACATACATATTTACCTTATGACCGACAAGGTGCATGTGGTTAAGGTTTATTGTTCCTGTGTCTGCCTAAACGTCATTTTCTGTGAAGTTTGCTATAATTTAGTCTTGCGATATTGAGTAATATAAAGAGATAATGCATACCTATTTTAGGCATCATTGAGGGAAGTGGATGGAGTTGATCATGTCCAGTGGCAGTGTTGAACCTCTGGTTTCTAATTTCAGAGAGTTAGGTGGTTAGAACTTTCAGTTTATTAAATAATTATGAAATTTATGGAAACCAAACAAAACAATGTAACTGTTTGTTTCATTGTAATTCAAGAATGAGGACTTGTCTCAGCTTCTCTGTAAGAAGTGAAGGAAATATTTGTCAGCAGAAACAGTGGCATGACCTGCTGTTAACAGATCATTGAATTTTCACAGTGGTAAAGCTGACTGAACAGTCTTTCTATTCAAGTGTTGGTAAGAAATCTCCAGATGAGCTTTGGATGGTCGATTTCTTTGCATCATGGTGTGGGTCATGTCAGCAGCTAGCACCAGAATGGAGAAAACTTGCTAAGGTATGTTTCAGGTTTTAAGCTTAAAAAACAACTTTTTTACTCTATAATGAGCCAAGGTGTGAATTAGGGCTGAATCCCCAAAATTTGGATCAATGATATGACAGTGTGTTGCATGGTGAGGGCTGTTGCACACCTGGGGGGGGAATGATAAATGAGCGTGGAGCATGGTTGGAATGATGGCTTAAGCAGTTAGTCACTGGCTTCCCGTCGTGGCAGCCCAGGTTCGAGCCCAGGTCCAGTCAAATTGGATTTGTGGTGGACAAAGTGACGCTGGGGCAAATTTTCTCAGAGTGCTTTGATTTCTGTGCCAATCTTCATTCCACCAAATTCTCCATCATAATCACCTGGGGCAGGTACAATAGACCAATCAGTGGCTGACGTGCTGAGTGGACCCAGCTGGACTCTACCCCCCACTATGTGAAAATGGTTGGAATGATGAGTAGCATAGGAAACCTGAAGAATTTGGGGAAAGACTGGCTATAGTGCCACTTTTTCTGCCATGGATGTCACATAAAGTCATCTGAAATTGAACCTGGCAGTGAAAAGCCTGTGTCTGACTGCTTAGGCTCTGGCAATGCTTGTTCCAAATTATATGATACTTGGTTGTCATACTTTCTGATTGGATCTTGTACATACTGTGTTCATACGTTCAGTGTACACAATTGAGGTTGTTGGATGAAGGCCCTCCTGAGCATCACATTTGTGTTAGCACCAATATTTGACATTCAAGAGGCCTCAGGTTCTATTCTTTGCAAAAAATATGGTTCCCTTGAGGTTTTCATGGTTTACTTCATAGTTTCTATGCAGATACTGTGATAATACCTTAAAATAGGCTATGACTGCTTCTTTCCAATTCAGTATTACACTCCCCCTCTCTTTTGAAGTTAAAAGGGAGTTGTTAAATAAATTACAGAACAGAGTGCCATCTGACACTGGAATAACCCACCACAAAATGTAATTGTAAATGAGTGGAAGGGAAGATTCTTTCTTCTCCTCTTCTTGTTAATCATTCTTTCAGTTAGCCAGACATTATAAGCATTCCTCACGATATAATGTAACTTTTCCACAGATGGTATCAAGCATGGCAAACATTCACATAGGAGCTGTAGACTGTGAAGCTGAAGTTTCACTATGCATGCAGCAGGGGGTGCGCTCATACCCCACCATCAGGCTCTACCCTCTTGGTGGTCAGGGCCTCTCTACTATTGCGTGAGTATTATTGTTTTATGGGGAAAGCTACACATTTTGGGAGAATTGCATGGTAGTAAACAAAATATATATTTCTGGATTCTGTCAGTTTTACCATATTCATCTTTCTATAGGCTGAACAGAAATACAAGATAGCCTTCTGCAATGAAAAATTTTAAAGAAAAATAATGGCATTACTTAATCCAGACAAAATTCTTAGTTGCACTTCTCTACATAATCATAACATTTTAATACACATGTAATGGCCAGTCATGAATGCAGACTGTTTGTTCTGTAGAGAACACCATTAAGTGACTGGTTTCATGCACCAGTGATGTGTTTGTTGCTCCTGCATTTTAATGCTGTTAATATAATGGCTCACTCCTATAAAGCACTCTGTGTTATATAAGAATATATCGTGTTTTGGTGTGCTGTAGAACATACTGACTGGAACATTGAGGAAAGAATTGTTGGGGGTTCTGTAATATGTGGGTTATCTTCTGTTATTGTCATTAAATCACTGACATGAGTTTGAAGTACTGAATACTTATAGAACATAACAAAGTTGTTTTCCTGTTACCATATTATAATAAATTTCGACCACTAGTTTGACT